GTGTTTAACCAGCTGTGCCCGAGGGCGCCTCACTGCCTCCTACCGTATAATAACCAGACTTCTGCCCCATCAACCCAAAGCCAAAACCCCCAAGCACAGCTGGGCTCCACGGGCTGGTGGGTGTGTTCGGGGAGTGGGGGACGGGTGGTGGCGGCTGGAGTATAGGGTCATAGGCCACTGTTTTATTTTGGGGGAGCAGCTATGCCAGCCTTTTCTCTCGCAGTACCTGGAAGTGGACTCAAACCTCCACCTTTCTGTTAGCAGCCAAGCTCAGGAAGCACCACTCTCACCTCTCAGGGGCCCCTCACAAAGTCAGGCAGTTCCTCCCCTCAAATACCCTCCTGGGTTACCCTTACTGGGCAAGTCTTAGATCATAAGCCGTGCAGCAAGCCCTGGTGGTGCAATGTGTGAGTGCCCAGCGGCTCACTCAAGGTCGGCAGTTCGAACCCCCCAGCAGCTGCACAAGAGAATGAGATAGTCCTGTGATCCCATATGGCCGGCAGCCTCAGAAACCCTGAGGTACAGTTCTACTCCGCCCTCCGTCAGGAAGCGGGTCTCCCAGAGAGGCAACATTGGAGGAAATACAGCCAGAATGTTCCCTAGACCCAAGGTTGCTGAAACTTTGCCCCAAGTTCTTTGGACATGTTGTCCCTGGGGCATCATGCTCGGTAAGATAGAGGGGCAGCGAGATAGAGAGAGACCCTCAACAAGATGGATTGACACCTTGGCTCCTCCCAGGGCTCTAACTTCACAACATTGAGGGTGCTGCGGGAGCAGGCAGTGTTTCCTTCTGTCAGCCATGGGGTGGCTGAGCAGGAATCGACTGCACAGCACCTCTCAACAGCGGCCAACATTCCCAGGGAGGGGTCAGCCCGGGGAGGCCCCTGGCCCGAGTCTGTGGGGAGCAGGCCATGAGCAGGGGTTAACTTCACAGCACCCAACAGCCTTGCCAGGTGAAGCTGCACCTTCTCAGGGCTCCCCTGATCTTCCTTGTCTCAGACATCCCGCATTTGTCACCTGCACGTCTCACCTCAGGCATGTGTGGCCGTGTGCCTCCTTGCATGTGCCAGCGCACCTTCTAGGACACGTACGAGCCAGGCCTGGGCCTGTCCCTTGGAAGACCTGCTAGAAATGTGAGAGGGGATTACCGGTGCGTGTTGGAAATGGTGTCTTAGCATTCCAGGACAAAAAGTCTCACCAGCAACCCTTCAGAAACAAAACCAAATCTCTAACCCATTGCCTGGAGTCCACTCGGACACCTTGCCACCCTGCAAGACAAGGGAGCCCTGGGGTTCCCGAGGCTCTCCAGCTCTGCAGAAGCCCACGGCCACCACCGCCTCCTCCAGCAGAGTGGCGGGTGGGTCCTGACTGTACAGGCAGGGCTCCCTCTTGAGAAAGTACCCACTTCAGGAAGACAGTCTAATGGGAGCAAAGACCATCTACCATCCCAAACTCTCCTGATGGAATACGCATGTGCAAAATGTACTCGGTTTAATTGTTAGGCAGCTAAACCTATTTATAAGTGAAGAATAGAGGAGTGTGTGGGCAGGTTTCGTTTGACTCAGAGAGCATTTGGGATGCAGAAAATCCCCCGTGGAGCATTGACGCCAACCATTCCAAATACAATTAGAGACTCAGAGGGGCCCCAGAGGGCCGCCCCCTGCCCAAGGAGCTGTGAGACAAAGCTATGAAGTACCAACCGTGAGCAGGAGCTATCCTCTCTCCTTGTTTTTTTTCCTAATTTCACTTTCATTTTATTTATTATTTTCATCTTTTGTTTGTTTAACAGCTTTATTGACATATAAGTCTCTTAGGTAGCGGGCACGGCGATTGTTGGATCATGTGCGGAGCAGTGCAATCAACACCAGTGTCCACTTCAGAACTTGTTCTTCCTTCTGGTTTCCTTGTTACCAGCTCCCCGCCCTGCCCCACCCTCCCCCAGCCACACCCCAAGGGTGGGTCTTTTTTTTTTTTAAGTAAAAATTTGTATTTTGATTGAGTTCTCAATGTATAAGTTCAATAGTTCAGTATACCACTGTTTAATGGCAAAAAAAATGGTTCCACTGAAATTCCGTAATGCTACCCGAGAGCTCCGACTCTTTCCGGGAAATGAATGGCTGGAAGCAGCAAGCAACACGGCAGGCCCAACAGCAGGGAGGGCTGCAATGGGGACGTGAAAACATGGCACCAACATAGCTGGTGACCCCGCGCGCTATGGGGGACAGAGGGCGACCACTGCAAGGAGCACTACCTGCGCTGTAAAGAGAAGGGACACCCAAGGACAGCTGTGAGGACTTGAAGGGCAATCACAGAAAGGGGACCCGAGGGAGGAGGAGCGCAGTGAAGTGGGGCCTTTTTAAATGAGTGATGCAGATGGATACCCTTGGCGGGAGGAGATGTCCCACCCAGTTTGGGACAGAGAAGATGAGCCTTGGTCTTAGCCTAGAACGTCCAGACACCCCCAAGGCTCTGTCTCCTGCCCCTTCCTCCACCCCCCCAACGCCCGCACCCCTTGCCCAGGCCCCAGGGAGTAGGAAGCTTTTGTAAAGGGTACACAGCAGGAAGTAAGAAGCCCAGGAATTGATTACAAGGATCTACATATAACCTCCTCCCTGGGGTATGGACAGCAGAAAAGTGGGTAAAGGGAGATGTCAGGCAGTGTAAGATATGACAAAATAATAATTTATAAATTATCAAGGGTTCATGAGGGAGGGGGAGGGAGAAGCGAAGAGGGAGGGGGGAAATGAGGAGCTGATGCCTGGGGCTTAAGTGGAGAGGAAATGTTTTGAGAATGATGAGGGCAATAAATGTACAAATGTGCTATGCGCAATTGATGTATGTATGGATTGTGATAAGAGTTTGATGAGCCCCTAATAAAATGATTTAAACATAAATAAATAAAATTGTAAGACATTCAAAAAAGAAGAAGCCCCTGGTGACATCCACAGGAAAGTCCAGATGCCAGGAAGGGGCATCATGGCTGGTCAAAGAGAGGGTCACCTAAATGGAGGATGGATGGATACAGCAGCCTCACCACCATGGACCTACCAACGATCGTGGGGGCAGCACAGGGCCAGGCACTGGTTTGGTCTCTTCTGCATCCGGTCTCTAGGAGTCAGCCAATTCTACAGCCACTCCCCACACCATCTGCACATGCTGT